GCTTGAATTGTAATTACTAGGCTAAGATTTATTATGTATCAGCATATTTTTAGATTTGTTGTTTAGTACCTATAAATATAATTTATTTTATATACATGATTTAACATTCAGTAGGTTACTCAGGTTCAGGGCACCTTTTTTTTTTGACCCCCACACAAAGTTTTTTTTTATAAACTTTATCAGTTTTCTTTTCTAAAATAATAGTGATAAATATTATAAATTACCTAATATATTTTAACATCAATCATTTTTTCTAAAATAGTTAATGAGTACTTCATTTTAACTAAACTAGATAGGTAAGAGGTATCTAGTTTATATTTTTTAAGCATTTAATTGGTAATAAGATGTAAACACTCGTGTAAACATTATCATTATGAAGATAAAATGTCTCAACCGAGTAAAAGTACTCTACTTAAGTAAGTAATGGTAGAATATAGGTTTCTAAAATTGTGTAAATATAAGCCTTAATTATGAAAATCTGTAACTTCAAATTGAAAAATACAAATTCAAGTTTAATACTATGTCCTCTTCTACTATCAAATTTTGGATTCTTTACTAAATGTGTTAGTGGGTCTTTTAYAAAACTTCTAATAAATTATAGCCTATTACAAGCAATTTGAGTGTTCCTTAAATATTTCTACTTAATATAATATTATATTTGTATTTATATTATCATAAAATAAGTAATTCTATCAAAATTTTAAAGATTAAAAATTAATTTCAACAGGTCAAAGTCAAACAGCTCCTTCCCTTTTATGGTGGTCCTGGAGACATATTATAATAAATAATCAATTATACCTAAGTGAAAGAAAAATTATTTAGACTATAACTTAATTCTTTTTCATTTTACACATTCAACATAATGTTCGCTACTATCAGCCATCGGTATTTAATTTATTAATCTAAGTTCTAATATAGGAAGTATAAATTGATATTTTAACTTTATAATTGTAATATTGGATAACTGAATGCAATACAAGCTACTAACTTTTAAATTGAGAAAAACCTCATTTTAACAATGAAAATCATAGACCATGTATAATAGCAATTATTATGTATTATATATATGTATAATCAATGATATTGGAAAATAGGAACGTATTATAATCTTTCATGCAAACACTCGATAGCATAAAGAATAATAGGAATGTAAAAAAAAATAATAATCTATAACAGGCAGCCAGACCATAGAGTTAATGATTAATGCCTGCATTCTTAATGAACAAACCACGAGTAATGTAACTGATAACAGCAATTATTGTAAAATTATCATAAAAAAATATTTTTTATAAGATTCTCCAAGGTTTTATAAATAAATTAGGTATATGCCAGTAAGGTAATCAAATATCAACAGTAATAAAAGTAATTTTATACAACAAAGCATAGGTATAATAGTAAGGACTCTAGTCTTTAAACGATCAATGTTTAAACATAAGTTTTGAGTGAAAATATGAACGGTGTATCCCAAAGGCATAAGTTATTTTAGAAAGCTKTCAGGAACTGAATCTCTCAAGTCTGCCGATCCACCTATAAGAAATATAAGCTAYCTAAATAAGTCGCATCCAATAAYGGARGACAGGAAAGCAGGTAGGAYATAATATACTSACATATATAATATATATATTCTGAAAACTTATTATTTGAACTGAGAGTAAAATCCGAAATTGATAAAAAAGTATTTACTAGTATTCATAATAAACGGTATGGCGGACAACAGCCGTACAATTACCTGGACCGGTGTTTGAACTGGAAGACGGCAAGCAGGGACGTTAGGGAGGCGAGCACGGAGAATATGGCCAGACGGAAGTGATAGCGGAACGTTCGTCGAGTATCGTAGAGGAACGGCAACGATATGAAAAACGCCACAAATAATACTTCCAGCCACACGGCCATTGTCGGTCACAGTGCTCTTCGTTCTTCGTCGGCAGCAGGTTGATCCGGTCGCGGGCACAACTACATTTTAAGATGGAGACGACCGTGGGAGACCGGGACCGGTCTCTTGTCTTACAACGGCATAATATTATAACAAAACAGACGGTACCTATAATTGGCCGTCACAATGACTGAGATTGTGAGGTCTCGACACACGGCGTCTCGTGCGAAACGACGGTGATAACAATAACAGTAATAATAGTAATAAGTAATAACAATTAACAATGAAATATGAATATAAATAATATCTWATAGGTACCTATGTATTTAAAATTCCGAACACAGGCGTCGTATCAACCGGAATCGGAAAGAGTATCGATCGAGTTTTATGCTTTTATGCCGCACCAGTAATTATTGTAGTTAACCAGTGGACCACGGTCGGGAACGCAAACGGTAATGAACAATGGTCAATGAAGTTGGTATTTATCTGATGTAATAATAATCAAATACGGCGGCAGACGTTGTATACAAAAAGTATTATTATTTATAAATAATAATGTAGTACGTGCCTTATTATAGATTTTTATTTTTAAAATTGTMATATAATTATAACATGAGTGTACACTGTATACAGTGTTATCACCCCGCTCAGAACTGTTATCTGACGTTCCGTTATCACTTTATCAGTCATCGACGACTCCACATCAGCTGCTGGWGCAAGGTGGATTTATAGATTTATAAATCCACCTTGTGCTGGTGTTTGGAGGAAGATAAGAAGCCGTTGTTTGGATGTAAGCATAAATGCATAATATTGTATTTTGTATTGAATGTATTGTAGTACAGAAGGACTAAGGGGAAAGGGGACCTATTAAATCCTAATATTAATTGAACAATAATAATATAATATTTTACTTCGAGGACTTTGTGGCCAAATTGGTCGTGCACACATCTGTCATTTCGATATTATCMGAGTATTATCACAGGATCAAACTTATTGATGGTTAAGGGGATTTCAGATTTGATACCGTGATTTTCTGTCTTTGTCTAACACATGCGCGTTACAGGATTTTAGCCGTATTTTTTTCCAAACATACCGATGGAAATAGTGAAGCAACAAGAATTATAAAAACAGATTTGAATTTGTCGTCAAGACTACTTGAGATCGACTTTTCAACATTTTCGATATTGTCTTCCAAATTCTAATTAATGTTATGCTTATGTAAACGCGGGAAAGTCGATTTCAAGTAGATTTGATGACAAATTCAAATCTGTTTTTATAATTCTAATCGCTTCACTATAGCCATCGGTACGTATCGCAAAAAATACGGCTAAATCCTATGACGCGCATGTGCTAGACAATGACAGAAAATCGCGGTATCGAATCCCCTTATCGAAACAGTCGCTCGACCGTGTACGAAGTTCGTACTACGAAATACGAACGGCCGTCGCGCACTATCAAGCATTCACAGAACTCAGAAAGTTCGGCCTTTACAGCGTTGAAATGCATGGAGAACAGATGGCGCCGTACCTTTGGTTGAGAATTTTCGTCAATTGGATGTCCCTGAACTGTCATTTATCATATTTTCTAGGTGACAAGAACCTGTAAACTGTGGATTTTATTTATAAAAAAATTATATTTTTAGGAAATGTCAACATTATAACCATTTTTAAATTTCATGGATTATTTACCGGTTGGTCCATAATAATTAATAAATGAGACACTCATTATTTGCGAAAATTATTAATGTTTTGGAATTATTTTTTTAAATTACCATATTTTTAATTGAATGTTTTTTTTTTTTTGAGTAACTACTTCAAAATATAAAATTTGAACTTTGAAAGAGAAGTTTATGAGTTATTGAGTAGGTTTTTCGAGTTTAGTTAAGTGGAGTGAAGTGGTAGAGGGCCACATGAGTATCCAACAAAATGTTGGTTCACTTCTGTCTACTCCGCTAAATGACATTTAAGACTAGTGAAACTTAAAGTTAATTTTTAAATTATTTCGTGTAGGAAAGTCATTAAATATTTATTATAATTTATAATAAGTTTCTTTACATTTTCCAAAGTATGAATCAGTTAATTAAACTACACGTGCGCTTATAATACTATTATAATACTTTATCAATACCTACATTTCAACCCTGATATCACTAAAGTCATTGACGGACTATAAACACAACATCATTATCGGAGTAGGTAAATTGTTTCGGTAACTCTTAATTTATTATAATACGAGTAGTTATAATGAATAAATTATATAAATATAGGTTATTATGATCAGATGACTGATTAGACACCAAATTTTGTGCTGTAAGTAATCGAAAATTATCTGTACTTTATTACATAATTAATTAAGAAGACTCGAAACGCGACAGTTTACTAAAACARTTATATACGTCCAAGAAGCAAAACAAAAATAAAATAAAATATTAATCTAATATAGAAGATATTAATTATTATTATGCAGCAATACACGTGTATTATTGTTAGTTGAATAATGTTGCTCTACATTTCAGATAACTATGAACACAAACAAATAAATAATTTATATAAAAAGTTTATATCTATTTTTAAATATCATTAGTCAATAATGATTACTATTAAGACATTTATTATTACCTAGCCACCTAGGTATTATTAAACCTCTAAATTCATGTGAACAAATTTTAAGTAGGTATAAACAACTGATTATAATATTATATTTAAATTATATTTTTTGAAAGAGTCATGCTCGGCTATTTGCTGTTTTTGTCGATGGGAGTAGAATTCAGATACATTTAATTAACTAAGAGACACGTTAAGAATAAACAAGTATGCAATATGATTACAAGAAATGGACTACACAAAAAATATTAAAATATCCTCGGAATGTTTATAACACGAAGAACTCAGAATTATGATCACCAACAATACATTTTTATCCAAAAAAACTGAAAAGTAAGTCACTAAACACTAATGGATATGTTAAATTCAATAATAAATCGCTGCATACAAAAAACGATTATTAGATGAGCAGTGGTGTGTTATACATGTGTGCGATGTGTGCAAAT